AAATACACGAGATTCCGTCAAATTTGCGTTGATTAAGTATGTCTTGGAGTGAGCATCGGATGTTAACTTTTGCATGAAGCATCCTAAAACGTTGGGGACTCACAAAAAACGATACGTTTACCGTTTTGCCTTGCACGTATCTTAATTTGTTTTTTTTCCACGGGGTATAGAGTCTGTGTGCATCCTTTTTTGCCGCCATTGTAGAGATCACCATGAATGCGTGTGCCCATGCGGTTGGTGAGTTTACATGACTTTGCCCTAGGTGGGTTGCTTAAACTCGGCGTTACTTATAAAATGATACTTCATATGTTACCTAGAACTGTTACTTTGCAATGTTGCAATGGTACTGAGGAATGTTGCTCAAAATGCAATACTTAAGAATGTTCTTTACGCATGTTACTGGCCATGTTGTTTGGGATGTTACTTCATTCCACCACCACATTATTTCCAGACACCGTACTTACAGACCCTTTACACGCAGGTGCCTTTACACACATTTTTTTTTACCCCAAGACAGTTTTCCACACAGGCGTTTTGACGCACAGCGCGCAGGAGTTTTTACACACATTTTACAAAAGGATACTCTTCAACACATACGCTTTTTCACACAGGTGCTTTTAAGCACAAGGCGATTTTGCACACACACACAGACGCTTTTACACACAGACGCTTCTACACACAGAAACTCTTACATTCATACATATTCGCACACAGAAGCTTCTGACACAAGTTTGGCACAAGACAATCGGAATTTTACCTCAGTGCTAGACGATTGACACGCGTTTCGTCCGGGAACGTTTCTTCCAGCACAAGCGTTCGGCAGAAGAAAATTGCGATGTTACTTCAGTTCTTTGACGATCGACAGGCGTTTCGCTAGATGTTTTTGCCTATGCCTGTGTACCTGCATATAGAATCAGTTGTTGATGTGTAGGCGTTTTATTTGCTATTTGCATTGTTCAGTTGTAGCTGTATGGATGTTGTAGTTGAACATGATGATGGTCTTGTTGAAGATGCGGCGGATGTTGATGATGAAGATGAAGAAGAAGATGAAGAAGATGAAGAAGATGATGATGATGATGCAGGTGATGATGTTGATTATATATATATATATAATATTGGCAGCTGCTCTTTGGAAGGAGCCCTTCGCAGGTGCTTCGGGGCAAAACACCAGACAAATGTAAACACATCTAAACACTAGGCACCCGTATAACGTCACACTTTCATGTGTTGGGTTATCCGGATATTACTAGCAAGGTTTCGCCAGTTGAAACCCCAACAGCGATGATATTTGCATCTCATTTTTGGCCAAATTACTATACAGTGATTACAATGTTTCATTTGCCAAATCCAGCCCCAAGAAATCTTATTTTACATCACTTGTTGTTCTAGTGTTGTTTTAATGTTGTTTAAAGACCCCTTCAGCCCATGATGGTTTCAATGGCATGGAGGGCCCCAGCCCCCGGTCATCAGGTGCTCTTTGGCCATTGCGAGGGCTCTGCCGAAGACCACTGGCTCGGAACGGGCTCTGCGACCACGCGCTACCGGCTTTACCGGGACTTGCCAGAACCAGGAGACGCTGTCGGGTTGTCGTGAACGACACCATGGTGACTGGTCACTGGGTGATTTTTTTTGGGGGTCCCATTCCCAGCTATGTATAGCATGTCATGTCCCTGCATGCTTGCATTTCATGGCATTGCATTGCATTATATAATCCCTTCACCCTAATATTAACCGTACCCCCTCCCCCTCCTAAATAATAAAACCTAGTAGTTATTATGGTTACTAGGAGGTATTTAAAATTCGGGGGAGAAGCTGGCCTCTATGGCCTCTAATAAATTTAGACCTTAATTATATTTAAAATGATGTTAAAACCAAACAAATTCCTTTTTATACCAAATCTAATAAACATATTGCCAAAAATTGGAAGCATTTACTTCCCCTAATATTCAATTTAAAATATTAGTTTAAAAACAATACAAATTCTCAGTTCAAAATCGATGACATTCCTTTTCAAAATCTATTTAAAATATTGCCAAAAACTCGATTTCGAACGAAGCTTTCCCCTAATATTTGTTTTAAAACATTAATTCAAAACTAACATGATTGATTTTGCAAGACGGACCCTAATAAAAAGCACCCTGGGGTTAACTATTTTCTATTGTTGGCAAGAGGTAGAACCTTCAAATTCAAATTGGACCTTGATGTTTAGATTTCTTGACATACCACTAATGCACACAGATAGATAGATCAGATTCAGATAGATTAGGTTGATTACTGTAGATTGATTAGATAGATTCGATTAGATAGATTAGACAGACATACAGACAGACAGACAGACTAGATTGGATTGGATTGGATTAGATTGGATTAGATTAGATTAGATCAGAAAGAGAGAAAATTCGATAGAATGATAAATAGATAGGTAGGTAGGTAGATAGACAGATTGGTAGATGGTAGATGGTTGATCGATTGATCGATTGGAAAGATTCGATCCGATAGATTTCATAGGCTTGAAAGAATAGCT